ACAAACTTCTCATCAGCAAAGGCACAAAATTAGGTAATATTTATTTATATAGTGCCTTTTAGAGTCAGAAAGCAGTTTATAATTGTGGGCATTTGTTTCTCACTCCACACAGAGACGTATTTAGTGATGGGGAAACCGGAGCACCCGGAGGAAACCTACGCAGACACAGGGAGAAAATGCAAACTCCACTCAGAAAGGCCCTGTCTAACCCAAACCTGGGATTCGAACCCAGGACCTTCTTGCTGAGAAGTGATAGTGCTATCCACTCAGCCACCGTGCAGCCCATACTTACAGTGAATCAATCATTTTTCTTGTCATGATGTTGATAATTGGCCTAAAGCTTTGAAAAAACTCCTAATAAAACGATTGGAATATTCTGATAAGGTCAGTCATCTAAATAATAACATATGTCCCTCTCAGTTCAAATCAATTCAACATATTTTTGTACAGCCCTTTCGTATGGGAGGACAACTGATATTGCTGTTGATTTGCCATCAACAGATTAGAAAATCAAACCGTGTGAAAAGCAGTAATAACAAACACATAGGAGCCAATGGTCCATGAGGAGAGTGTTCTTAAATGTTGACAAATGTCCACAAACATGTCCTGGATCAATACTGTCCTTAGACCCTCCTAAATCTTGGAACAATTTTCTAATTTCTGAGTTTCACCTGTAAGTGCAATATAAATACTGTATGTAACCCATGGCAACAGTAAGTGCAATTTCATACATGTAGCTGTAGGATTGAAAAGGGTGAAATGTAAACGAGTCAGTATGTAAGTGTAGGAGCTATTTGCTTGTGGGCTAGATTAATTTCATTTATTTGGGGGTTTTGTATATTTTTCTAGATTTAGTTATTTTTTGCTGAAGTAAATTTGTGTATTTTTTGGTCATTTAGATATTTTTGTAGATTATATTGGATTTACTTCAGTTTTAGTTTAGTGGCACCTAGGGGATAAAAGGGGGCAGTTTTTTTTACCAGTTCTTGGAGATGCAGCATTTTTGTGTTGTTGCCTGCAACTTGATGAATAAACCTTTTTTGAACTTTACATTTTTTTGAATGGACATTTCTTTATTTTTCACTGCATAAACCACTTAACCATGGTGCATTCTAGTGATTATTTGAGTTTGTATGGTCTTAAGTTTGGTTACATTTTGTTTGATAGTCTATTTTTTGACAAATAGTCACAATAAGCAATATTCATGTATATAGTGCCTTTCACAAACAAGAGTCACATTTTTGTCTCTCACTCCAAACAGAGAGCCAGGTCAGACCTATTGTACGTGTTTTTTGTGGCAGGAAAAAGTGGAGCGAACGGAGGAAACCTATGCAGACACAGGGAGAACATGCAAACTCCACTTGGAAAGACCCTGTTGCAACGATATGGCCCTGGTTACTGATTCCACAAAGAGACAACAATTACAAAAACAGGTCTTGGATTCATTCAAAATCACATGAATCATTTCTCATTTGGTTTGTTTTCATCTGCAGAATATTATGAGCTGTCAATCATGCTGCAGTCTTCTGATTTGTGTCAACATGCTCCGTTCCACCATCTGCCTCACGCATAACGCTTTGTAATCACGTCGTGAGAAAAACAAATCCAGAGCAGCCCCAAAACGCAGATGATAATAAACGTGACTCATGAGAGAATATTGGTCCACTATTGTTGCCCAAAGGCGGTCACTGGGTCGAGGATGTGGGTCAGGGAGAAAAACACATTTTGCTGTTTGGATTCTGCTGAGGCCAAACCGTACACAGTCTTAAGCAATGATAATGGAACTAAAATCCTAGTTTTGAAATGAATGGGATTTTGGCCTCTGTCATATTTGGAGGAAAGCTAACTTTTTGAAAAATGCTAATGAACCATTCAGCATTTTACTTTGGACTAGAGCAGAGAAAATGCTTAGAACCAAGCGGCTACTCCACCTTGTGACCCGTCCTGCTCCACCCAGAGGCTACTCCACCTCTGCTGCTGTGACCCATCCTGCTCCACCCAGAGGCTACTCCACCTCTGCTGCTGCTGTGACCCATCCTGCTCCACCCAGAGGCTACTCCACCTCTGCTGCTGCTGTGACCCATCCTGCTCCACCCAGAGGCTACTCCACCTCTTCTGCTGTGACCCATCCTGCTCCACCCAGAGGCTACTCCACCTCTGCTGCTGTGACCCATCCTGCTCCACCCAGAGGCTGCTCCACCCAGAGGCTACTCCACCTCTGCTGCTGTGACCCATCCTGCTCCACCCAGAGGCTACTCCACCTCTTCTGCTGTGACCCATCCTGCTCCACCCAGAGGCTACTCCACCTCTTCTGCTGTGACCCATCCTGCTGCACCCAGAGGCTACTCCACTTCTGCAGCTGTGACTGAAGGGCTGTTGCTGATTATTACTATTGTCTTTTTTTACATCAGCTTTTTCAGACAGACAACGGAAATGAGAAGACTATATTTCTAATCAGCCAATCAGAACTTATCCCAAAGCATCAATTAGTGACTCCCAGGGCTCTGTCCTACAGGCCAGACAGAGAAAACATGTTATGGTCTCTATTCAAATCAATTCTAATTCAATTCAATTCAATGTATGTTTTTATAGCCCAAAATCACAAGAGCAGTCATCAGAGTTTATACAATTATTGATTTACCCCCAACAGGTCAGAGAATAAAACGGTTTATCCATCCATCCATCCATCCTTTTTCTTCCGCTTCATCCGTTGCCGGGTCGCGGGGGCAGCAGTCTAAGCAGAGACGCCCAGACTTCCCTATCCACACACACCTCCTCCAGCTCGTCCGGGGGGACCCCAAGGCGTTCCCAGGTCAGCTGAGAGACATAGTCTCTCCAGCGTGTCCTGGGTCTTCCCCGGGGCCTCCTCCCGGTGGGACGTGCCCGGAAGAGGCATCCGGAACAGATGCCCGAGCCACCTCAACTGGTTCCTCTCGATGTGGAAAAGCAGCGGCTCTACTCCGAGCTCCTCCCGTGTGACCGAGCTCCTCACCCTATCTCTAAGGGAGCGCCCAGCCACTCTGCGAAGGAAGCTCATTTCGACCGCTTGTATCCGCGATCTCGTTCTTTCGGTCACCATAGGTGAGGGAGGGAACGAAGATTGACCGGTAAATCATATGGCATTAGCATATGGCTAGGAAGGTAAGACTCAGGGAAGGCTAAACTCCTCAGAGTGTCAGTCAAGCTGCATAGGGAGTCAGTTTGCTGGGAGAAGTATGGTAACTTGAGCACTATCCTCTCCTCCTTCCTACTTTATCTGTTTAGCATTTTTAGGATTTTGACTGTAGTTTGTTCATTGCTATTCACCCGTTGTCCCATTGTCTGTTTCATGGTACACTCTAAAAAAAAATGCATTGGCAAAACTTAATAAAATTGAGGCAGCATTTTGCATGCATCTTTTTAAGTTTTGCGAACAAGACTGTGTTTTAAGTATTCTTTGTAAGTCTTTTATCATTGGTCCAGCACAATTTTTTCAATACCACCAACTTGGATAATTGAGTTATAAAGACACTTTGTTAAGTATATTCAGCAAGTGTTTTAGCATCAGTTCAACTCAATTTTAACAATACTACCAACTTAAATAATTACATTGAAAATAAATCTTTTTGAGTATATTCAACAAGTGATTTTCAGTCAGGAATACGTAATCTTTATTCAAATACCATCTTTCAAAGATTAGATTCACAAAACGGTTCACAATTGTTAATTTTTGGCAGTACTGTAGTCTCTCACTCCACATATATATGAGAGTGGGCCAGCACAGTCACTGGTAAACATGTCCACCTTAAAGTATTTGTTCAAAATTGAAGGGTGACACAGGGAGTATAGGACTGCTTTGGCTTGGCCCTCTCGATCATGGTTGATAAAAATAAATACAATTACTTATTTGGTCAAATTAGTTTATTCAGAATGTTGCTCAAGTATTTTGCTTTAGGACTTGCTTCATATTCAGTTTTAAAATTAATGCTCAAATGTAGAATTTTTAAGAAGTTTATATTTTTCGCTGCAATGCATTCTGGGTAGCGTCACCGCTTCGCCACATTTTGTTTTCAATCAACACAATATATTTATTTTGAATCAACTCAATATATTTGTTTTTTCATTAATGGGCCACCAGGCTTACAAGAGGATTTTCATGTTGAGCAAACTCAATACTTCTCCGTTGTCCAGTTATGCCAGATTATCACATTCAAATTTGTTACAAAAATGAGTTAGGATTCTTGTATTAACTTTTAATTGAGACGGGCATGTTTAAAATGAGTTGCGACCACACTAATTTAAGTAAAACTGGCAAAAATCAATTATTGAGTTTAGTTTAGTATGTATTTTGAGTTCAAAATACTAACCACCTGAATCATTTCTTTGAGTGTACGATGACGGGATCTCTGAGCCTGGCCTCCTCCATCTACACCTGTGGACTGCCCCGCCCGACCCGCCTGGGAGTGCTTCAGTCCTGCGCCGGACCTGTCCACGTTCAGCGTCCACTGGTCCACGTTCTGTAGCTAGCTTAGGTCCTAGATCATTAGCCTGTCCGTCCGGAGGAGCGGATCCCTTTCTCAAATGGGTCTCCCTCCCTGTGGGTTTCCCTAGTTCTCCCCAAGGTTTCTCACTTTTTCCCACTGGGTTTTTTAAGAGTTTTTCCTTGTCGATGCAGGAGGGTCTTGTTGGACAGTTAGTGTCCAACAGAAAGGATTGGTGATGATCAGGACACTTTAGCATTCTACAACATGTATGGACATTTTCTTCTGTGTGTGCTTTATATTTTTCATGTGTTTTAACTGTTGATTCTCTGATCTGTGTTGGTGATTTCAATGGTTTTGTTAAGTCCTCTGAGATGACTTCTGTTGTGACCTAGGGCTATACAAGAATAAATTGTATTGTATTGTATTGTATTGTAAATCGAGAGCTTTGCCTTTCGGCTCAGCTCCCTCTTTACCACAACGGTCCGATACAGCGACTGTATCACTGCGCACGCTGCACCAATCCGCCTGTCAATCTCACGCTCCATCCTTCCCTCACTCGTGAACAAGACCCCGAGATTCTTGAACTCCTCTACTTGAGGAAGGACTTCCCCACCCACCGTTTAATTAAACATAAAACGGTTTAATTACAGAAAATACAATAACACCAAACACTGAGATGAGCCATTGGTCCATATAGGGGAGCAGGATGACCAATGTCCATGAATAATAATAGATTATTTATGGTCTGATTTGTTCAAAAAATTTTCAAGTTCAAGATGAAGTTAAACACAAATAATAGGTTGATTAAACTCACGTCTATGTCTGTGTTGTTGATGAGCTGAGCGGAGATGTCAGTGCAGCCGTCCCGTTTGGCCGAGGCGGGCAGGTCGGCGTCTCCGTACCACTTCCTGCTGGCGCTGTGGCTGTAGGCGGCGGCCGGGGTGGCGTGCTGGATTCTGGTCGTGGACACTATTCCCACGGATTTTTCTACAAGAGACAAAAAAGAGGGTTACAGACGAGGTGTGACGCATTAGACTCTCCCTGGAGCTGTCTGTGGTGCTGAAGTACAGGCCTTTTTTATATGACCAAAAAGTTATGAAAAACAGGTCAAAATTGTAACATGTCTTTGTCCCATTGGGAAATTGTGTTTTAATTGAGTCAGAATGTACTCAAATTAGAACCAACACAAACGTTGATTCAATCATTGATTAACTCATAATTTATCATTTTTTGACAGTGGATGAAAAGAAAAAGTTTAAATAGTAGATAATTAGTTGTAGGTCTGTCATTCTCATCCGTTTTATAGTTCTGTAGTCTCCCACATTTTCAATTAACTGACTGATTATTGTATTCAAATTTCAATTCTATGTGAAAACTTTAAAAAATGAGAATACTTGGAGAAAATCTGATTTTTATGGACATGTTGGAAGAGACAGAGGCCTGTGTAAATCCTGTGCAGTGGAAGATGTTTACAGCGGTGATAAGAACAGAGAGACCAATGCTCCTGGAGGATCTCGCCTGCTCTGAACATGGACTAATCACATCTGCAAGTTTGGAATTCTTGTGGAGCAGAATAGAAACCATAACGGCCACAGTCAGGGTTCATCGCCACTGATCCCTGCTCCAAAGACACTTGAGATGTGATGATTAAAAACATAAGAAAGGTAAAGAAAACAAGTGAGAGACTTAAAAATACAGAGGGTCTCTTACTCTTTCTTTCTCTCTCTCTCTCTCTCTCTCTTTCTCTCTCTTTCTTTTTCTCTCTTTCTTTGTCTGTCTCTCTCTCTCCCTCTCTCTCTCCCTTTGTGTGTGTCTCTCGCTCCCTTTCTCTCTCCCCGTGTGTGTGTGTGTGTCTCTCTCTCCCTCTCTCTCTCCCCGTGTGTTTGTCTCTCCCTCTCTCTCCCTGTGTGTGTGTGTGTGTGTGTGTCTCTCTCTCCCTCTCCCTCTCCCTGTGTGTGTGTGTGTGTCTCTCTCTCCCTCTCTCTCTCCCTGTGTGTGTGTGTCGCTCTCTCCCTCTCTCTCTCCCTGTGTGTGTCTCTCTCTCTCTCTCTCTCTTTCTTATTAAGTATGTCTTTCATTAGTTTAATAAAAAAACACAAAGAGACTTGTTTTCCTCAGATCATTATAAAGAAAAAGAATCTCAACAGCAGAAAAAATCATTCTCACGACATCTATAACTGAAACATCTTTATTCCAAACACAAAAAGTTTCTGCAGTGATGTCTCTTTGGTCACAGTGATCCAGTTTGTGTAGTTGTGTAGTCAGATGTTACCATTGTGTGTGTTTTGTGGCGTACTTGCGTCTTTGGCCCACTTGAGGATGGACGTGACCTCGTTGCCTTTCTGACTCTTGCAGACGCCGTTGCGAGCGGCGGCGTTCACTCCGAGCGTGTTGAGGTTGGTCTTCACGCCGCACAGATACGCCGTGGCGGTGGCGGCGCTGTCCGGGATCTGGAAGTCCACACTGTACGTCTGACAAACACACAACACATATTATTCACATTTCACTGTAGTGTCAGAGCACGAATGAAGGAACGGTGCTGATCGATTGAGTTTCATGAGCCCCGTGTAGCCGCGGGTTTTACCTCTAATTATTTCCTCAGGTTTTCAGGTTAAGACTGGACTCACTTGAGATGGGCTTGGTTAGATATGAAAACCTGCAGCCAAAGCGGCCCTTTGAGGATCGGTTTGACAGCCCTGTACTAGAGACTATTTTTCCTCTCGTGTTGCCCAGGTGATGTTTTGTTTGTTTTTTTAAGGATCACGGTGTTGTATCGTGAGAATTGCAGGTTGATAAATACAAAAATGTCATCTTTGCGTTAAAATAATATTATTGCACACAAAAGATGGGATATGTCTGATCATTGACACCAGTTCTCCCTCACTTTTTAACAAAATAACATCATATTTTTGGTTCCATTTTATACTGACACTTGAATATAATTACTATTTAAGCACATTCCGTCATGATTGGAACAATATCTGAACTCTGAACAATTGTAAAGCACTTTGGGTGACCTCCATCCATCCATCCATCCATCCATCCATCCATTTTCTTCCCCTTAATCCATTTCTGGGTTGGGGGGGTGGCAGTCAGAGCTGCACCCAGTACACTCAGCACCAGCCCCTCACTGATCCTCCTGCAGGTGGTGAGTCCACAGGAGCTGAGATCTTTCAGCGGGGGCTTCAGGCAAAGTGGGGTTAAGTGTCTTGCCCAAGGACACAACGACAGCAGTCATCAGGGAGTCGTGAAGTAGGTCATTACTTACTTACTTACTTACCTTACTATAACCTTAAAATGGCTTCTTAAAAGGCATCTTAAATGGTCTGAACTTAAAGTAGCGATATGTAAGATTTTCATGTCTAATACTAATCTCTCGGGTAAAGAAACATGTGGCCGCAGTACTAAAAAAAGTCAATGACAAAACAAGGATTAAAACCAGGATTTCTATCTTTGTGAAAAAGATGTTTTTTATAGATTTGTTGTTGACAAAACTCTTGTCTATTCAGCTGTTATAGCCCCAGCTGGATTCGTCTGCATATCTGGCAACCTGAGTCAGGGACAGTGGGAGAGGTTGCAGTACCACTTTTGGCCACATTTGTACACACTGCTCCTTTAAGCTGCAAATCAAAAAGGCAACATTCTTTTCTTCTAACCTAACAGAACGAGCCTTTGAGACGACAATATAAAGCATTACTTTCCTGTTCTTTGTGACGTCTGTGTGTACTGTACGGGAGGACTCACAGTGACGGGGAACTCATGAATAATGTATGGTAGCGCCAGTACATCATCAAATCTGTCCATTATTATTCACACTCTGGCAGCTGTCACACAACCTGCCAGCTCCCATCTCATCAGGCGACACACACTGCTGCTGTCAGACTATACAAGCCCCACACAGCACTTTAAATCCACAATAACGCCATGTGGTAAACGTAAATGTGAGTTTTTGTGTTTTCACTTGTCACACAAAACAACTTAAGGGCTCTAAATGTCATGGTTGTTATGTGAACATGTGAACAAAGGATTTTCATGAAAGGAACAAATACAAAAATACAGAAAAATCCAAAATGGTGTGAATTCTTTGTTATTCTTTTTTTGTGATGCATTATTTATTCAAGTGTTACATTATATTTACATTTTTGCACTGGTTGGCATGCATCACGTTTTACTCTTGGTCCCCTTTTTGTACCCCACATCCCCTTTAACCTTGTGATGGGGAGAGAAGCTAAAAAGAAACAGATTTTAAAAAAAAATGATAATACAGATTCTTTGTTATTCTGTGCTTGGTTTTAATTTGACCCTAGTTCTTTGTGGTTTTTGTTTTTTACTTTGATTTCCTGTCCCATTCCAATGACGATTGTCCGCCCCGCCTTAATGTGTACAGTATTTCTACAGCGCTAAAACACAATTTCCAAATAGAACAAGGCTTGTTTTTTCCCCGAAAGGAGAACATATTTGTACTGATTTGAGCAAAACAAGAAGTTCTGTATAAACACTGCAAAAAATGATAGAATATGTGGTAATATCTGCTTGAATCCCGTCGTTTTTTTTAACTGTGGGATTATTTTCTAATTCCAAAGGAGACTTTTCTTGTATCTTTTCAAAACAAGATTATTTTGTTTATTTCCCATTGGCACATTTTGTTTAAAGACAGCCAAAATGTGCTCAAATTAAGATACATTTACCCAAACTTGAGTGTTTTTTTTTACATTTTCCATCTCTACTAGTACCTTGATCATTCCGACATTGGGAAAGGTGTCCATGGTCATCACCGAGTCTTCTCCGGACTGGTTTCGTAGCTGTCCCTTCAGGATCCGAGCGGCTGTGATCGTGGTGATGCTCATTCCTGACCGACCAGAGACACATATTTTATTCATGCTCAAACGTCCGATGCCATTACCGTAAAGTGAGGGATGGTTGTGGCGTACCGTCCCCCACGAACAGGATGACGTTCTTGGCCACGTTGGTGTTGGGTTTGTGGTGGAGCCGGGTCTTCAGAGTGCTCCGGGCCTGAGACCTCCAGTACTCGGGGTCCTCCTCCTCCACTGCACACGAACGAGACAGCAGTGAAAATCTACATAAGAACTCCTACAACTGCTTTAAATTCATCCAAAGAAAAGAAAACCACCTATTGTTACAGTGCATTACGTTCAACCTAAAGAATATATTTATATTTGAATTTGATCATGAATAAGAGAGAAGTTTTGAAGATGTTTAGGCCACAATACAAATGGTTGCTGTGTGGAAACCTAGATCTACAACCAAGTAAAAATACATATTTCATATCTGGACTCCCTGAATTCCTCATCTCGATCCTCGCCTCATAACCATAACCTGATTTTGATAAATTCACTCAAAGATTCATTCCAATTCTGTCATTGAGCTGGTTCAAAGTCAAATCATTTCCAGAGTTTCATTGATCTCAACCATATAATTCATAGTAGAAATATGTAAGATTTTTATGTCAAGTCATCATTAAAGGGCCCAAATCTGTCAAAAGGCGTTAATAAAAAAATGCTCTGTTCCAAACATGCTCTGTTCCAATAAATCTTGTCCTGCCCTCCACCATTTTACCAATCAGAAAGTCCGTGATCCGGGTTGCCAGAACTCACCGTATCGAGCTAATCTCACTTGTAAAGTATTATGTAGCCTCAGAACTAAAAAGGTCTCGCTATGATTTTCAAATCATTAACAACAAAACGAGGAATAAAACCAGGATTTCTATCTTTGTGAAAAAGGTGTTGATTATAGATTTGTTGTTGACAAACTCTTGTCTATTCAGCTGTTATGGTCCCAGCTGGATTCATCTGCATATCTGGCAACCAGAGTCAGGGAGAGTGGGAGAGGCTGCAGTACCACTCACACCACCACATATTGCTCCTTTAAAGTGTAATAGTTGTATTTATTTGTTTATTTATTCAGGATGTCACTCAGAGGCTATGCAGGGTCTAGGCCCCAGGGGGATTTCATCTCATAATCTCTTTCCCTTTCTACTATCCAGCGGGTCTCTCCGGGTCTAAGCGCCAAATCCTAACCACATTCTGTACAGTAGCAATAAATGTAACTTTCAAAATAGTGTCATCAGAGTCATTTGTAATTTTTGTATTGTCAGATTACTGCCAAACAATATACAGCTCCCTCATTGGAATGTCTCATTTTAAGACTAATTTGTACACTACGTATTATAGTTTTTAGTTTTAGTTTTTAATTTAGTATTCAACTAGTATTTATTTTATTTTGTTTTTATTAATTTTTTATTGTTAACTGGTATTTTATTGTTTTTATTACATTTGTGCCTGATGTTATACTTCTATTTTTGTAAATATACAAAGCCAACCTGTATATATATAAATGTGTTTATTTTATCTCTGTGCAGCACTTTGGAAATTTGTTTTACAAAATGTGCTATATAAATAAAGTGGATTGGGAACAATTCTAATAATTCCATGTTTTGGCTGATGGACTCTGAAAGTTATGCTCCTCAGCTTTAAGCCTGTTTACTACAGGCTGTATACGGCTGAGTCTGGTGTGTGTGCATTCACTCTGAGTCAAAATGGTTCCAGGGCATAATGTTGTAATGTTGTAATGTTGTCAGGCATAAAAGATGTGACAGATGCTGCTTCAAAAACACTGCTCCTCGGGCTGAAAACCACTTTTTATTTCATCGTTAAAAGAGAATTTCAAAGTGTTTCAAGTGTTTTCAAAGTCTGCGGCGCATGAGGAGAGAACATGGACCTCAAACCCAACTGTGTGATCATGTCGGACCGTTATGTCATCTTTAGCACTGCGGAAAATTAGAAAATATCAGGTAATAATTGCTTGAATCCAGGGTTTTTTGTCTTAATCTGAGCACATTCTGACTTAGAACATGTGTATTTTCTCATTCCAGGGAAGACTTTTGATTGTTTTTGAAGTAAGGTCATTTTGCTTTGTCCTGTTGGCAAGTCTAGCTTTAAGTCAGTCAGAAAGTGCTCAATTTTTGACTTATTTTTCATGACTTTTTGCAGTGAGGTGCTTTGTCGTTTAACCTACTCAGCAAAATGAACGACCAGTGGTGAAAAAGCTGCGGTGACGTTGAGGAAAATGCTTGAAATGACTTCTTTCATAACAGTAAAAAAATTGAAATCAGATTTCTTTGGGAAAAATTGAGTGCCCTAAGTAGGGACTTGCCCGGTGATCTATTTCATCCCACAAGAGGGTGCTAACATGTGTAGGTATTTGTAAGGATTTTGATTTTGATTAAATTTGGCTGATTCTGTGACAAAAAGTAACTGACTACTTGTTGAAACCTGCTCAATTATGGATATTCTGCTTTGATTAGTTTTATAGTTAGTGTTGGGGTTAGACAGTTGATACACAAGCAACTCAAAGTTCTTAACAAAACAAGATATAAACATTCATAAATAATCACAGTACATTCAAAAGAGTAAAGATACAATCCTTCAGTTATCGCACAGCAAAACAAAACTGTTTAAACCTGGATTTGAACATTGTCAGAGTAGATGCCTGTTTCACATTTCTAAGAAGACTGTTCCAGATTTTAGCTGCTTACTGTAAGAAACGCTGCCTCCCCATGTTTAGTCCTGACTCTGGGCACCTGCAGGAGTTCAGTCCTTGTGCTCCTCAGAGTCCCAGCAGGAGGCCAGTCCCTGTGCTCCTCAGAGTCCCAGCAGGAGGCCAGTCCCTGTGCTCCTCAGAGTCCGGGCTGGTTCATATGGGACTAACATGTCACTAATGTAGTTTGGTGATAGGCCATGGAGACATATGAAACAAACAGAGCTGATTTAAACTTATATTGGAGGAATTTCTCAATTTATAAGAAAGAACTGCCCTCTCCACTTTTTGAACAAAACTCACTGGTCTTATTGGACAATTAGAAGGACCAATAGTCTTGATGATCCACCCGGAAGTAGAAAATCCTCCTATAGACCTTTAAAGTCTGGTTTCTGAGCCACAGGAGCCAGCACAGAGACCTGAGAACTGGACTAATGTGATCGTACTTCACAGAGAACATCCTTTATACAGATTAACACCAAGAAAACAAACCAAACTTGCATGTTTTGATTTTTTTGAAACAAATATAATTAGTTTGTATTTTAAACTGTTTTGAGTAATCATGAAAAGTGGCCTAAAGCGAGAATAATCAAAAGTAACAGCAGACAAAAGCAACGGAGCAGATGTGTGGATCAAACCTCACACTGCACTTTAACTCATGGACTGCCAGCCCGTTTTTGATAATTTCACTGATTCTCAAGACCCACAGAATATGTTGTGCTATGACTATGTAAAATATAAAACCAGATTCTGAAAGAGAGGATTGTCTACTTTCATCAGCAAAAACACGTTTGTTTCTAGCACGTTTTGTTCTCCTGTGATCCGCAGTCAAACAGAGGGAAGTTTGACAGAAATCACCGCTTTCAGACAAATATACGTCAATGGCAGTCAATGAGTTAATGGTTCTTTGTGTGTGTCTCATGTAAAAACCGGTCACAAAGTTATTTTCTCACCTTTAGCGATGGACGAGCCCAATGCCAGCAGCAGCAAAACACCGACTGTCCGTATCCACGCCATGTCCAGACTGAGAAGTGGCCTCTTGCTTCCTCAAACGATGCTAATACTCACTGGCTAGGTGGTTCAATTATCTTTCACAGCAGGCCATAAATGCAAGTGACTGCTGGACTCCTGATATGAAATGGAAAGATTAAGATTAAGTTAAGCAATGCTGTCATTTTATGAAGGATTAATGCTTTATTAAAGTGTAATGTATTCATATAGGAGTGTGTGTCATTGACGTGCGAAGGAAAGAGAAGGTAAAGTGAGTTGTTGTTGTAATTATGGCCTTTTTTATGGTTGAGGGTAAACAGCAGTGCAGCTAATCATAAAGAGCTTGTATCTGTCGGATAATCAGGCATCAGGACACGGTGATGTAACACGGGAGCACAGGGACCAGACATGTGAGGCTACTTCAGGGGCAAACACAGGGATTTCAATGAGGAACAAACAACAGTACATTTTATAATTGTACATATGTTACACACACTTTTATAATTGTACATATGTTATACACACTTTTACAATTGTACATATGTTACACACACGTTTACAATTGTACATATGTTACACACGCTTTTATAATTGTACATATGTTACACACACGTTTACAATTGTACATATGTTACACACGCTTTTATAATTGTACATATGTTACACACACTTTTATAATTGTACATATGTTACACACACTTTTATAATTGTACATATGTTACACACACTTTTATAATTGTACATATGTTACACACACTTTTCTGCATAATGCTTCGCTACACTCTTTTTTGATGGTTTTTCCTCATGTACGTTCATGGTCTTCATAATTTCTTTACTTTTTCTGTTTCTATGTTTTGTTTAGTTTTTTTTTTGCATCGTTATTTCTATTAAATTATTATTATTATTATTTTTGATCTTGTTCTACCTTTTGCTCATTTTCCTCCATAGAACAACAAGTGCTCCATTTTTCTGTGGGATTTTTGTTTGGAAAGTGCTTTATAAATCAAATTTGATTGATTGATTGATGTATAGCATTAGTAGTAGTGACTGGAGTAGAAGTAGCAGTAAGTAGTAGAAGTAGTAGTAGTAATAGTGGTAGTAGTAGAGGACGTAGTCGTATTAACTAGTAGAAGTAGTAGCAGTAGGAGTAGTAGTGACCTCCTCAGGGGCTGACAACCCCTGAGGAGGGACGCTTCAGTAGTAGTTGTAGTAATAGTAGTTGTAGTAGTTGTAGTAGTAGTAGTAGTAGTAGTAGTAGTGGTAGTAGTAGTAGTAGTAGTAGTAGTAGTAGTAATAGTAGTAGTAGTAGTAGTAGTAATAGTAGTAGTAGTAGTAGTGGTAGTAGTAGTAGTAGTAGTAGTAGTAGTAGTGGTAGTGGTAGTAGTAGTAGTAGTAGTAGTAGTGGTAGTAGTGGTAGTAGTAGTAGTAGTAGTTGAAGCACTGTAGGCACATCCCTAAGCCCATTCAAAGGAGCTCAGTGAGTTTTTTTTAGCAGGTGAGGCCACTTTTAAAGAGGCCAAGTCCTGCAGTACCCGGGCCTCCCCCCGGGTCGCTCCCCTCCCCCTGGGTCACCTCCCCAGGAGCTCGCACCTGTAAGTCCACCTGCACAGGGAAGCGAGGCGGGATTCTCTGGCAATAAGACCAGGCCAGGGTCAACCGTGAGGCATAGCTTTTTTTCTCACTCGATAACTCCGGGCTAGGATTTAAAAAAAAAAAAAAAAAAAAAAAAAAGTAGTAGTAGTAACATCAACAGCAGTAGTAGTAACATCAATGTGATGGGACACAAGTGCGTTTTGTTTTATTTATGCATGCTGAGTGTTTTTACTGCTATGGTTTTCAATTGCTGTTGTGAGTTTTATTGTTTTGCTGTGATTTCAAGCGCATGCTTTTAGACTGTTTAATTGGTTGCCCTCACGACAACGCACACCCCACCCCTGATGAGGATGGACCAGGACACCTGCGGGTGCAATCACCGTGAATATAATCACCTGGGGAGCACAGCAAAAGGAGATTGGGACCGCGCAGACAGGAGACGCGACACCGGGGAGCGGACGCGCAGCGAGGGGAGGCGAGCCCGGAAGGAGAGGCCAGCACGCACCGGGCCAGCACCATGGCACCCACGCTCTGGACCCCCGCACCACTACGAGAACTACACAGAGGCAGGGCATTTGGACCCTGCCCTGCCGGTGAGTTTTGCTCTGGTGTAGACGTGGTGTATGGAAGCCTTGGGCTGAAGGGGGGATCCTGGGTGCTGTGCGTGGCTGGCCCGTGTGTGTGCTGTGCGACAGGGCTGGAGCTCGCCGCTGGACCCGGGCGCCCCGTAGGAGGGGAGTGAGGCGGCGCAGCGTTCGGGCTGGGAATAAGAAAACTTTATTGTCCACCAAGGTGGAAAATTGCCTTTGGTTATCACCTTAAAATACATAAAAGACACACATCCAGCACAATATCATGTGGCACTACATTCACAGAACAATTGGAAGAACAAACCAACAAGGCCACCTCCGGCCTAAAGACAAGAGTCAACCTCAGGACTGCTCAAAGCTTAAGAGTGTTTACTGCTTTCACTGCACTGGGCACAAAGGAGTTTTTAAAAATGTTTTTCTTGGCTGATATCACTCGATATCTCCGTCCTGACGGCAGAAGTTCAAACTTTGGGTTTAGCGGATGGGAAGCATCTTTAATGATGAGCTCAGCCTTCTTTCCCAAGCGCACCTCAAACAAACACTGGAGAGATCTTTGTGGCTGCCCAATGATCTTCGAGCTCTGGTTCACGATCCTTTGGAGTTTGTTTTGGTTCTTCATGCTGAGGTTGCCAAACCACATCAGCATGTTAAAGGTGAGGATGCTCTCCACCAGGCTCTTGTAGACCGTCTCAAGGATAGAACGACTCACACCAAAATTATTCAGTCTGCGAAGCAGATACAGTCGCTGTGAGCATTTCTTAAAAATGAAGTCTGTGTTCGTAGAAAAGGTAAGTCTCCCATCTATGTATGTGCCAAGGTATTTGAAGTCATCGACCATCTCAACATTGGCACCATGAATCTTCACTTCTATCAATGTCTCTTTATCAATGTGCACAATGAGCTCTTTTGTTTTCAAAACATGATTTCTAAAAAGCTGTCCACACACCACTGCTGTAACATGGACAAATGATTAAAATAGAGACTCTCCAAAACAGTGTTCCCTTTCTGTAGTAAGGCAACAAGAGCCATATCATCGGCATATTTAAAAAGTTTAAAAGATTCCTCATGAACTTGAAATGCATTAGTATAAATAGAAAAAAGCAAAGGAGACAGAATTGTCCCTTGAGGCGCACCTGTATTTAAGATAGTCACTTCTGAGATATCAGAACCAAGTACTCTTTGAGGACGATTAGATAAAAAGTCTCTGACCCATTTGATTATACCTCCATTAACACCCAGGTCCATAAGTCGACTCAATATTATATATCTAACTACTACAACTTTCGTTTTCAGAAGAAATATTTTTTTTATATTTTTTATGATTAAATATGAATATTAATTTTGAATAACTTTTTTTCAAAAAGGGGCGTGGTCACCAAATTCTCAGGTATCATCAATAACTGCCATATCTAACTACTACAACTTTTGTTTTCAGAAGAAATATCTTTTTTATATTTTTATGATTAAATATGAATATTAATTTTGAATAACTTTTTTTCAAAAAGGGACGTGGTCACCAAATTCTCAGGTATCATCAATAACTGCCATATCTAACTACTACAACTTTTGTTTTCAGAAGAAATATCTTTTTTATATTTTTATGATTAAATATGAATATTAATTTTGAATAACTTTTTTTCAAAAAGGGACGTGGTCACCAAATTCTCAGGTATCATCAATAACTGCCATATCTAACTACTACAACTTTTGTTTTCAGAAGAAATATCTTTTTTATATTTTTTATGATTAAATATGACTAAAAATCTTGAATAACTTTTTTTCAAAAAGGGGCGTGGTCACCAAATTCTCAGGTATCATCAATAACTGCCATATCTAACTACTACAACTTTTGTTTTCAGAAGAAATATCTTTTTTATATTTTTTATGATTAAATATGAATATGAATTTTGAATAACTTTTTTTCAAAAAGGGGCGTGGTCACCAAATTCTCAGGTATCATCAATAACTGCCATATCTAACTACTACAACTTTTGTTTTCAGAAGAAATATCTTTTTTATATTTTTTATGATTAAATATGAATATTAATTTTGAATAATTTTTTTCAAAAAGGGGCGTGGTCACCAAATTCTCAGGTATCATCAATAACTGCCATATCTAACTACTACAACCTTTGTTTTTAGCATTTCTCTTTTTTAAATATTTTTTATGATTAAATATGACTAAAATCTTGAATAACTTTTTTTCTAAAAGGGGCGTGGTCACCAAATTCTCAGGTATACTACTACAACCTTTGTTTTCAGCATTTTTGTCTTTTTTATATTTATTTTTTTATATTCAGTAAAAATCATCAGAAACTGGCAATATGGGAGAAATTAAAGCTGGGGTACCTACATTTTCCCTTTCATTAATAGCTCTTGTTGATTGTACCCAAAAGTAGAAGGTTGTGAGCAAGTCAATCGACACGGTTGGGCGGCACGGTGGCTGAGTGGATAGCACTCTCGCCTCTCAGCGAGAGAGTTCGAATCCCGGTCGGACCAGGGCCTTTCTGAGTGGAGTTTTGCATGTTCTCCCCGTGTCTGCGTAGGTTTCCTCCGGCTACTCCGGTTTCCCCTACCGCTAAAGATATGTACAATATAGGTCTGGCATGCGCCTCCTTTTCGGCGACCCCGCATGTGTGGAGTGAGAGACAAATGCCCAGAAATAACAATTGTAAACCGCTTTGTGACTCTGGTCTGTGAAAGGCGGTATATAAATAAACATTACTTACTTACTTACTTCGAACAGATTTAAGTACATTTGGTATGAATAACAATGTGTCATTACATTTGTAAATCTCATTTAACTTCAATTGGAGTGGATTTGAAATAGAATGTTAAAAATGC